AAACCGTTTAAGTAGTGATCGCACCCAGAGAAGGAGTCAAACAGGACAGGCTGTTTGGGAAACGCCGGGGGCCGTGCCGTGGACGCGGAGGCGGGCCGAGGGGCCGAGCGAGCCGAGAGGCGAGCGGGGGCCACGCGAAGAGTGGCAGCCGGCCGGCGCCCGGGGGTCCCGCACAGGGTGGGCCGCCAGGGGGGGGGGAGGGGAGGGGGGCGGGGGCGAGCGGGCCGAGAGGGGCCAGGGAGGGAGGGAGAGAGGGAGAAGAAAGGTATGATGATGAGCACGAGGAGGAGGAGGAGGAGGAGGAGGAGGAGGAGGAGGAGGAGGAGGAGGAGGGGCGGAGGAGGGGCGGGCCGAGAGGGGCCAAGACGTGTGCAGAGCCGCGTCTCAGGCGATCGCAAACATGGATTCAGCGGGCGTGGATTCGAGACGGGTCCCGTTTCCACGGGAAATCGCGGATTTCCGCTGTCGAGCGAGGCGGCACCAGCCGCATTTTGGGAGGGAACTTGCCACGATCCATGGATTTGGTGACCGCGCGCCAAATCCATGGATCGCTAATCCATGTTTGCGCGCTCCCGACAAGGGGGGGGGAGAGGGGCGGGGGCGAGCGGGCCGAGAGGGGCCAAAACGTATGCAGAGCCGTGTCTCTACTCGCAAGTTGGAACATCTACATTGCCAGTAGCGGGCTGTTTCCAATCCCAGGACCTCTTGAGGGTCGGGGACGACGTCGGGGTGGTGTGGCGTCTACGTTCTAATTTCTTCCATGGGGAAGCCGCGAACAATGTATACGCTGGGGCCCCCTTCTACACCAGGATCCGCTTTCCTGTGCAAATTTAGGTGCAAGGCCAGAAAAAAGCGTCGGTGCATGGAGTTCGGCTCCCCAGCCACGACGCATCGGTTGCAGTGCTGGCGCGGCGGCCAAAGGGGCGTCTGCCCTCGCCGCCGCTCCAAGATACCAGGCTGCAGCAGCTCGAGCAAGAGTCACGCTTCACGCCATCTGCCGACGGGGGGGGGGGGGAGGGGGAGGGGGGGGGGGGGGAGGAGGGCGGGCGGGGGGGGGGGGGCGACTCGGGCACTCAGCCGAGGTGGAGGGGCAGGGCAGGTGGCTGCCCGTGAGCAACGGTCTACGGCCACGAGCGAGCGAGGGCCGGGAGGGGGGGGGCCGCGGCCTCCTGTCCGCACTGCCCGCCCCTGGAGGCACGTGGGGGGAGGAGGGGCGGGGCGGCCGCGGCGGGCCCCGACGGCGCTTGGAAGTGCCGTCGGGCCGCCGCACAAGGTCGAGGTGGGTGCGCGGAGGGTGCCCCCCGGTGTTGGTCATGCTTGTTGGATGTGCCTGTGCATCCTCCTCCTCCTCCTCCTCCTCCTCTCCTCCTCCTCCCTCCTCCTCCTCCCCCTCCCCCTCCTCCTCCTCCTCCCCCTCCCCTCCTCCTCCTCCTCCTCCTCCTCCTCCTCCTCCTCCTCCTCCTCCTCCTCCTCCTCCTCCTCGTCGGGCGAGGGTGCCCTTGGATGTTCTGTGTGCTTTGGCCGGCTCAGGGTCCACTGTTCCTGGGGGACGTGCTTCTGTCCCAGGTCCGACTGCAGAGGTGGTACGTGCGGGAGTGGCACGGGAAAGGGAGGCGGATGGAAAGTTGAGCGAAGCCGATGATGTCCATGCCCGCGACCGCCGCCAAGGCCCAGGGCCCTCTACCGACCAAGTGGCCAGGCCGTGCATGGTAGGTCCCGGGGAGCCCCTTCAGGGCGGAGAGGGTCTGGGAGCTCGTCGGCGGTTGTGGTCGAAAGCCGCTGGAGGCCCCGCCATGGTGGGTGAGGAGGGCTTGCCCGGTTCGGTCGTGATGGTGGTGTTGATGTTGCTGCCGTGGCTAGTAGCATGGACAGCGAGTGCGTAGGTTGGGTCAGGTAGAGCAGTGAAAGAGGCGAGGGGCAGCCAGCTGAGAGGTGGAGAGTCGACCGTCGGAGCCAGATCGGTGGAGTGGGTGGCTGCAGCCCAAGAGGTCTGACGCTCGGAGAGGAGGTACTGATGCGGTTGCTCTTCCCGGTGAGCGTGGCCAGTGCCACGGGCCCTGCAGGCAGCATGGGGCAGGAACTTGCAGTTGCCGAGCTATGATGGGGCCGCTGTTGCGGATGCAGCTGTTCACTGCGTTCGGTAGCCGCACGTGCCTGGACGGGCGTGCGGAGGGTGGAGGCAGCGTCGGTGGGTTGAGTCGAGCTGGTAGGCTTAGAGATGGTGGTCGTGGTTGCCGTCGCTGGACCCTGTGTTCGCAGTTGGACTGCTGTGGGCCTCGTCATGGCTGGTCCGACGATGCGTGGTTCTCTCGTGGTAGATGGTGCGGTACACGATGTCGTAGACTACCCTGCGGCACTCGTCCAGGTCTTCCCTGTCAGTGGTGAGGCGGAGGTTCACGATGGAATCGGTGACGCTGGCGACGTACGCTTCGTGCTCAACCATGCGGCTTGGGTCCATTCCCTCGGAGTGGCGGCGCGGTAAGTCAGGGTCCTCGCCGTGCTCGTGTGCTTGGTGCGTAACGTCGTCCTTTGTCCGCCCGCCCCATGCCCAGTAGCCCGTAGGTGTCCATGCCCTC